TCATCATCATCATTTGCGTTCTCATCATTATCATTACCGCCAGCTGCATAACTATCGTCATCATTATCATCGTCGTCGTCGTCACGGTTAGCGCGCGCAACTACAATAACGTTATAGCAGCTGCTGTCGTCAGCGTCATATTTATTGTTGCCGTTGTAATTATGGTTACGGTTATTATGATTATGGTTGTTGTTTTTGTTATTATTATTGTTGTTATTATTTTTATTGTTGTTGTTGTTGTTGTTAATTGAAGTTGATGGTGCTGGAGGATTGTTGCGTCTGTCCATTTTGACCGCTCTGGAAGTTACAGTGGAATCTCTTTGGAAATTATCATCAACATTATTATTGCTGTCGTTTCTGTTGATGTTATAGTTATTATTATTATTATTATTATTAATGTTGTCACTGTTATTATTATTGTTGTTGTTGTTGTTGTAATAAGTTTTAAGCAAAGCATGCAGTAGATGGCGATGCTGCTGATGACGACGTGCCACTCTGCTGCTATAGTCATTATCAATAATATTATTATTAATATTTATATTATTTTTTTTAATATTATTATTATTTATTTTAATATTATTGTTATTATTATTGTTGTTATTGTTGTTGTTGTTGTTGTGTATGGTAGTCGAGGTATGTGAAGATGTTGTTGTTGATGCTGTCGATGTCCTTTTCAGAAGTTTATCTCCTGCCACTTTTATTCGTTGGTGACGCAAATTATTATTATTATTATAGTAGATATTATTATTATGATTATTATTACTATTAGAAGTAGTAGTAGCAGCAGCAAAAGCAGTAAGAGTAGTAGCAAAAGTAGTAGCCATAGTAGCCAGAGTAGTCATAGAAGTAGCGGAAGCAGTGGTAGCAGTAGTAGTAGCGGAAGTAGTAATAGAAGTGCCGGAAGTAGCAGAAGCAGCAGCAGTAGTAGTAGTAGTATTTTTCTTGAGATCACGTGATCTTTCTATTTCGTATAATCTTCTGCAGCCATTAGCAATAAATAATTGCTGCTCATTTTTGACGTCATCATCATCGTCGTCGTCATAATTATTTTTATTATTATTATTATTATTAGTAGTAGTAGTAGTAGTAGTAGTAGTAGTAGTAGTAGTAGTAGTAGTAGTAGCAGTTGCGGTATTGCTATTGTTATTGCTAGAATAATAACCAGCGATGTGTTTGAAATACTCATCCTCCTCATCATCATCATCATCGTTGTTGTTGTTGACAACATTAATTTTGTTGATGCCTTTGTTGTTATTGTTGTTGATGTTGTTGTTGTTTTTGCGTCTGTTATTGTTGACGATGTTGCAGCTGTTACTAGCGCAAATGCAATCATCGCTTATGTTACTGGCATTACAATTGTTCATGTTGTTGTTACTGGCATTACAATTGTTGTTGTTTTTGTTGATGTTTTTGTTGTTGTTGTTGATGTTGTTGTTGAGATAGTAACAATCAATACTGTTTTTATTGTCGTTGTGTCTATGGTTGCTATCGCGATTGCAGTTATTATTATTATTATTATTGTTATGGCCATTAGAACATATAGAGTTACTACCCATAGCAATCTTTCCATTATTAAATGTTTTATACCCAAAGTCATAATCATCATCACCATCACCACCACCATCGTCCTCATCCGGATCGTTATCATCACGACTACCATCATCGTCGTCGTTGTCACCGCCACCACCACCAACAACAACAACAACTTGGTCGTCATTATCATCATCATCGTTACCTCCGTAACCATAAACATTATTATTATTATTATTATTATTATTACGATCACTATTAGTAGTAGTGGCCGCATTTATAAACCGAGCAGTGTAGTAACGGCCACCATTGAAAGCAGCAGTGGTAGCAGCAGCAGAAGTAGTAACATGGCAATCATCGTTCATACTGCTGTTCTCTTGCTCCGACGAATGAATACATCTACAAAAATTACTACTACTACTACCTACGCATCTACTACTACTACTATTACCGCCTTTTACATTGCTGACTACACCACCACCACTACCACTACTGCTGCAACTACAGCTACTACAATTACTACTTACACCACTACTACTACTACTACTGTTATTGTAGTTACTATTGATATTATTATTAAAATTCATACATTTTCTGTTATTATTATTATTATTGTTGTTATTATCATTATTATTATTATTACGAAAGGCATTTGGTAAATGTCGTTTGCTAACGTTAGAAGATGACCACGATGACGTCATTATCACTCTCTCCTTATTATTATTATTATTACTACTACTACTACTACTACTACTACTACTACTACTACTACTACTACTACTACTACTATTAACATTACATCTATTATTGTTGTTGTTATTGTTATTATTATGATTATTATTATTGTTGTTATTAATGTTCGTCCGAGGTATGCGCTTGATGTGAAGGTTCTCGTGTATTATATCCAAAATAGGGAATTTGCCACCACTGTGATTATTCTTACTATTCATATTCTTACTATTCATATTCTTACTATTCATATTCTTACTATTCATATTATTATTCATATTATTATTCATATTATTATTATTATTGTTGTTGTTGTTGTTATCGTTATATTTAGTACACTTTGAAATTTTACCGTTAGAATTGGTGGTCAGTTTTAATACTCTGCTTTCCATCATTGCTCTTGTTCATACCATTATTATTATTATTATTATTATTATTATTGTTTATTATTATTATTAATATTAATATTAATACAATGTTAACATACATAATATTGGTTCAGTTTAAACAGAATCTATAAATATTGCAAACAATTTCTTGTTATTGTTATTATTTTATTATTATTGTTATTATTATAAATATTATTTTATTATTACTATAAATATTATTATTTGAACCATATTTTTTACAAAAATTCAAGAGAAAGCATTCATAGACAAACATAGACAAGTCAAGCGTTTCACAGCCCCTCTTACTTTTTGGCGACAAACATTAAAACATTTCTCAAAATACAAATATACATACATACATACACTAAAATACTCCATAGATATGTGTATTATACATACAATAACACACACACCTATATATATATATATATATATATATATATATATATAATTACAATGGTCTATTACCAATATATATATATATATATATATATATATATATATATATATATATATATTACGTTAGTATTGGTAGGCTGAGCACACATTATAGCTATTGATGCTACAATCCTTTCCTCTCCACGCATCCAATGAATACGCTCCCTCACTTATAATCATTCTCTCTTCTTTCTCTGTTACTCTCTCTCTCTCTTTTTCTCTTTCTCTTACTCTCTCTATCTATCTCTTTATCCGTCATCACTTTCCATCTTTTCAAGAAGATGATGATGATGATGATGATGGGACCACCCACAACGGAAGAAAGAATGATGACAGTATTCGTCGCGTTAGACCTGTAATTTAACAATTACGGAATCTCGCAGTGAAATATGGATACACGTACATCATAAACACGCACACACACACACACACACACGCACAGGCAAACAGATACAAACGTATGTACTGCACACGTAACACAAACAAGGAACAGGAAAAAGCCAAGATGGAGTCTGTACAAACAACATTTGCACCATATTAATGTACATCCTTCTCTCTCTCTCTCCTCTCTCTCTCTCCTCTCTCTCTCTCTTAACATAGCGGTCACCAATGTAATTAAGTTTCCTGACTTAGTGTTGCCCTTCTTTATATTTATGTGTCCTCTATATACTTTATGTATGTGTGTGCATGTATGTATGTATGTATGTATGTATGTATGTTAAAACCAAATCAGCGATGAGTGACACTAAACAGTCAAACATCTGAAAAAATCGGTTAACAATTGATATCTCGTTATTCGCTCACGTCGGCGTTTAATTGAACATTTTCGGTAACACAGACGCGCAAAAACCTTTGCAGCAAACAAGATATATGATTCATGGCGAAAAATAGCTCTCTGCTGTCGCCGGACCTGCCACTTATCATTTTGCAAATCTTTTTAAAAAATATTGAAGTGTTGTTGTCCATCGGGCCAAGAACCTCGATGCAAACAGGTAAAAAATCCATCGAGGGCAGGGCACCTTCATATTTTTTAAACTTTTCATCCGATGCCCTGGTTGCGGCCCAACCACTTTCTTTGCTGGTTAAGTGCACGTACCGTTCCGCTAATGTGCCCGGAACGGTTACGTCCCACGCCAGGCATCTACCGGCTCTCCAAGGAATCAACGTGCAGCCATCCGGACGTTTTCCATCCAACGCGGAAATTCCCGAGGGCTCTTTAAGAACGGGTATTAAAGCCTTGGAGAAAAGCCAGCAGATGTAATCATTTATGTATGTATGTATGTATGTATGTATGTATGTATGTATGTATGTATGTATGTATGTATGTATGTATGTATGTATGTATGTATGTATGTATGTATGTACGTATGTATGTATGCACTATGCAAGCATGTCAGTGCACACACAACAGAGCAATAACCAATAAGCTGCCTCTTCTGGAGTCAGTCTTCGTCACCATACACTATGTAATCACCTACATGCATCAAACAAATGCGTATGCCTGTCTGTGCGCTTACGCATGTAATCTTTACAGTGCGTGTAAAGTGAAAGAGAGAGAGAGAGAGAGAGAGAGAGAGAGAGAATGAGAGAAAGAGATAGAAAAAGAGAGAAAACGAGAGAGAAAGGAAGAGGGAGAAACACAGATGACAAAATGGATGGAGCAAGGATATTAGAAATTAAATTATGCATTGAATCTCTATGTATTTCAATTAGTCATGTTCTATTGTTTGCTTGTAATTTTGTGTGTATGAACGCTTGAATGTATGTATGTATGTTTGCGTGTGTGTGTGTGTGTGAATTTGTATGCTCGTTTTTATATATTCATTTTCCCAATCACGTTTGCCAACCATTTACATAAAGTTATAAATAAATAATATTCCTATTGATAAAAGCATTACTGATGATGTTGTAAATGTTTAAATTGAATGAAACATTTAAAATAAATCTTTCTGAACTATTAAATTTAATGTCCATTAATTCATTAATTCATTCATTCAGTCAGTCAGTCATTCATTCAGTCAGTCAGTCATTCAGTCATTCATCCATTTATTAATTCATTCATTCAATTTATTCATTAATTTATCTTATCTTTCCATCCATATACTCAATTAATTTCCAACTAAATTCTTTGTAAAAACACTCTTGAATGAAAATTTATAGAATCAAACTTGTAGAAATAAAAAAACAGATCATCACTTTTTTACACACACACACACACGCACAAACACACACACACACACACACACACACATAGATAGGTAGATAGATAGATGGTGATTGATAAATAAACTTTTACAAATTCTTGCACATGCATGAGCATCTAAAATGCTTGCATGTAGCTACTGTCTAGTACATATCTTTTACAATAATTTTTTACAAAATATATATATATATATATATATATAATATATTTTAAAAAGTATAATTTCTTGAATAATTTAAATATCTGGCAGATTATCATTGTTTTACATGGTGATTTTCAAGGTTAGGCAATTTGAAAGTACTGTACTTCATTAAACAATGAATTATATAAACAAAGTGATTGAATGTGTGAATGAATGAAAATATAGATAGATAGATAAAAAAGAAATGAATAGAAGAATGATTGAATGTAAGTAAAGAGACCAACAAATTTCTGAGTTACCTCATTAAGTTCAATTCTTCATTGTATTCTAACTCCTGCATATTAAAAATGAATATAATATAAAATATAAAGATGCAGTAACGATACAGAAATAAGATGTTTAAAACAAATAGAATCATGCCACACTTTTAATTTCAGTTTTAAAAAAAAATTTTACAGTTTCAGCATTTGTAAAATTTTGATTTTTTAAAGAATAATGAAAAAAATTAAATTTCAAATTTTATTAAAGAGTTGGAACCAATGAAAAATGATTAAGTCTAATCTTATAAATTTAGATAGTAGTCTCATCTAATCATTATTAATCAATTTTCTAATTTATTTTCTAATTTTGGATAGATGGATAATCCAACTTAGTTCGAGCTTGAGGTTAAAAAAGTTTAGACTTTAGTTTAGTATTTAGTTTAGTTTAGCTTCTAGAGTAGTAGTAATAGATTGAAATTTACTTATGAAATGTTTTTTATTTTAAATGTGTAGCTGTGGTGACAACCCATTTGCACACAAAATTTTTATTTTGTTTAATAAATGATAAACAATAATAAAATAATTAATAAATATAAAAAAAATAAATTTTAATTTGAATTAAGAAAAAATAAAATGTATTTATTTTGCACAAGTTATATTTTACTTGAGATTTCTTCATTATGGATTTCATTTGTTCAATTTCGCCATTAGATAGATTAACGTACAAATTATTAGAAGAAATTTTAGCGGCCACAACACTAATACTAATTTTAGGAGTATTATTGTCAGTTGTTTGATGGTGATGATGATGAGCCATTCACGACCGAACTAAACCCAACAAATGTGTATCTTAAATGATTTTTTAAAACTTTTATTCATATTTTGCAATTAATATCGGAATATTGGAAATAAATTAGATTGCAAATTACATTTTATAAATTAAATCCATTTTAAACTAGTTTTATTACTTTATTCACATTTAAGCTTCAAGGTATATCTAAATGTCCAATCTTTCGTTTATTAATAATGCTGTATACCATATATACATTCTCTGCATCTTTTAGTGAGGGATGGTTTAAAAACATAGGTAAGTTAGAAACTAAGCTGAGCCAATTGAACGTAGGTAAGTTGGGAACTGATCTAAGTCAATTAAATATAGATAAATAAGGAATTGAGCTGAGCCAATTGAATATGAGAAACTGAGCCAATATAAGTAAGAGAATGCGCTGAGCCTATTGAATATAGGTGAGTGAGAAACTGAGCTGAGCCAATTGAATATAAGCAAGTTAGAATCTGAGCTGAGTCAATTGAACATAGGTAAAGGAACGAACAGAAAATTTAATAAATCCTATCCTAATGTAATTAATACTAATGATAAGAATTTTATGCTATTAATTTAAATAATATAACTATGTATAAAAATAACACTATTCAACCTACTTCTATATTTTCACTATTTAGTATTAACGTAAGATCCATTAATAAAAAAATCACTTCATATTCAGCAAATAATCTCTTCCTCCTTACCTGATTTTTTTTTCTCACTGAAACTCTAACACTCCTTCTATTATTCTTGCTACTCCTGATGGTTACAGCTTTCTTGAACTCTCTAGACCTCCAAAAAATACTTCCTCATCTTTTCATACTTCATATCGCGGTGTCTGTCTATTCCATAAATCTCTATTTTCTGCTTCTATCAATACTTCTTTAATTTTTCTTCATTTAAATGTCTTGTTGTATCTTTTAAGTCTTCTTCTCTATTTTTTTATATTGCCGTAATCTGTCGACCTCCTTCTTCTCGTGTGAATGTATGTAGTAACTTTTTTGATGTAGGATGGTAACTTGAGTCGACCGAATTATATCATTATTCATAAACGACTTCGTTAAGCTGTAAGCCACTGTGTTTTCTAAACAAAAAGCAATATTTTTATTGAAATTTACAAAAATAGTTTTAAAATTATATAATTTGTTTTAATTACAATGTTTTAGACATATTAAGTCAAATAAATATTACGTATTAGATGTTTGATGAAACATATGCAATTTCGTAAGCCAATGAGCCAATGAAGCCAAATAGTCCGATCGACCCCATGCGATATGTTTACACTGCAATCAAATTTAATGGCGCAGTTTGGAAGATAAGGCGCAAAAACTCAAAAAAGTGTTAACAAACTTCTTTACTAACTTTTTCATGTAAAAAATAAATTCACAAATGATGGATGCCGATAAAGTTGCCAATTTCTTTCCTTTAACTTGCAGAAAAGATGTTTTAAATTTGATTAATTCTTTCATCACTTCGAAAAGTCCAGACCCGGTTATGATTTCACTAATTTTAGGCAAAATAGAGCACGAGTTAACGCAATTTCCATGCAAAAATGACTCGAGTGTTAACGATCTTTACTCGAAAGTTGACTTCAAAGAGTTAAAAACTATGCACAACAATTATTTAGAGTACTTGAGGAAGCCGGTGCTAATTGAAAAAACGTTCACTAACGACGACGACGATGACGAAGAAAAAACGATTTGTGGCCGAAATAAACTCAATCGCGAACATGCGCAAACATCAAAACGTGAAAAAATAAAAGAAATTTACAACAAAGTTTGGTTTAAATTGGCCAGGAGTTATCGCAAAGATAGACATCACATGCAGACTATCTATAGTCTGCTAAATGGTAACTTCATAAGTTCACTTTCAATCAAATTTTACATCATCTAAATAAATTCTAGAGGGATGAATTTGTCATTATTTAACTATGAAGTTACTGAATTATTAAATTTTTGAAAGCATTAAATAACATAAAATTTTTAACTTCCTGACAGATCAGAAACTAGATTGCTTTGGTGTGAGCATCAGTGTTGTGCTATCCTGTCATCTCCTAGATCTTCGTGATGTCACATTGGTGATGTCAGAGGATCATTCCTGGATTGAATTCAACATAGAGGACATCTGTAATGATGTAATCAACAACGACATCAACACCACCAATGTTGTTCAGAGGGATACGATCAGAGGTTACGATGATGAGGTTGGCCGGCAAAGTATGGAAGTTACCTGGCATGGTATATTTATTGTCCACTTCATTAAATAAAAGTGTAAATATTTTTTATGATAATAAAATTAATTTGTTAGTTTAAAATATAAGGGTAACTCAATAGCACAGTAAAGTTAATTTATTTTTGGTTAAATAGATATGATAATTTTTTATTAATACACACAGGCAAACAAACAAAAGATAAGAGAGGGTGTCGTGTGGTAAGCCCGGAGAAGAGGTGGCTGACGAGTGGGGGCCAGGCAGTTAGGTGCAAATCAGGGATTTCCTTGGTGGCTGCTATGGTCTGCAAAATGAATCCCATCATCGACGCCGGTGCTGAATCAAAGGAACTTTTGGCTTTGAAATTCGTTTGTGTCCCTTAATTAGTAGTTGTTAATTAGTAGTTGATTTAGATTTTTTATGTGTGTTTAATTTTAGCACAAAGATATTTTTCTAAATTGATAATTAAAAAAGTAAGTGATGCGAATGCTTAATATCAAACACACAGGGGCTGTTGGACATGTTATACAAGGTGGGATGTTTGAACAAGTAACTATGTGCTTTATGCATTTACTCATTTATTCGTTCAGTCAGTCATTCATTTCTCCTTTCTTTCTTTCATTTGTTCACTCATTCATTTGAGGTTATTCATTTATGAATTGTTAACTCATTGTTTGTTGCATTCATTCATTCATTTGCTGCTCATTCGTTCATTCATTCATTCATGTGTTTTCCATTCATTTTCAATCAAGCTTTCCACAAGCCCTTGTTGAACTGTACCGGGCAAATTTGTGGTTCCTTGACAGCAGCAGCAGCAACAACATCATCGTCGTTGGTGGTGATGAAGAGAATGATGATAATGATAATAACAACAATGGTGGTGATGGTGATGATGATCGCCCTCCAGTCACGATCTACCTCGAAAAAGCAATGGAAATTAACAGGAAACTATTCAATGATTCTTATGTTATTCCATATCTAGAGATGGCCAAATACTTACTACATCATCATCATCATCTTCTTCATCGTCGTCGTCTTCATCATCATCGTGTTGTTGGTGATGGTGGCGTCGATGTTGCCGGTGCTGCCGATGATGATGCTCATTGTTGGGGCAGTGATGGTAATGATTATGCCGTAGTAGATGGAGAGATGGTGATGAACTTGTGGAGGAGTGCTGCTGATGTTGTCAGCAAGTAAGCTATGATGATGATGATGACGTTGATGATGATGATGGAAGTTTGTAATTGTTTTTAAGACAATAATATGAGAATCTACTGTTGCTATGTCCAATGAATTACATCCACTTTTCAATATCATCAGGTTTGTGTATAGCAAAGAAGATGAAGAGCTATACAAATTATTCTACGATGTCGCAAACAATCACATCCCTGATCTCATTCGGGGTCAGGTGACATCTAATGGCCACAACGGTGAAAACATCAAGATCAGTGAAGATTGCTATACCGATGACAAACATGAAAATATTAACACAGCTGATGTAACTGACCTCAACCATGATTCAAAAATAAAAAAGGAAACTGGAACCAGAAAGCCTTCTCTAAATATAGAAAATTGGAAAAACCCAAAGATATTTTCAGACTTCCTTCTCTTTTACGACGGACTGTGTTGTTGGGAGGAACAGAGCAATGTGCCTGTCTTGCATGAAACCTGGGCAAAACGAATGTGCTCATCACTGATTAGGTTTCACTGTTCAGCCAGGGAAAAATCAAAAGTTGCTATTGAAACCTGTTTCCCTAAAGTTGATGTCAAAAGCTGCAAATATGGCGGCAGTGATGGCGCTAAAAATGAGGTTGCGATTGTTCCTGCTGAAAATAGGAATGGGAATGTTGATGTTTGTGCAAAGGAAGTGAAACCCTGCACCGGTGTTGTGATCTGCAAGAAACCGGAAATTAGACGATGAACAGGTTTTTCCAGTGCATCAACAAATGAATAAGAGCGATACTAGGTCGTCACGTAGAGCAAATTTCACTCAGCAGTCGACTTACGTTGAGTTCACGCCAATGAAAATTGACAATAATGACAACAGCAATACTAAGAGTCGTGATAGCATCTATGCAAGTAAAATGATCGTAACTGCTACTGCTGTCGCCAGTACTATGGTTAGTACCAGTAGCAATAACAATATCAAAAGCAAGCCTTTAAAAACCAAACAACGCAAATCTAAAAATACATCTATGACGCCATCATCATCATCATCATCGCAGTCGACATCGTCATCGGTATCAGTAAAAGTCCCAGGAAAAGCCAACCCACTTTCCATGGGGTTTGTAAAGCTGGAGCACCCCTGTTCCACTTCGGATGACGAAAACTGCAGTAGGCTCTCAAATTTATGGGGAAAACCCAGCACTACAAAAATAATTTGCCCTGAAAAATCTACAAACCTGGCTGTAGATGTCGGTAGCGATTCTAGTCTCAAGAAATCTATAAATAGCAATAGTCTGGAAATACCGACATCTATAAAAACATCAGAGCAGTACATGAAGCAGATGAAAGAGAAATTCGGGAATTCCGAATTTCCAACCAGGAAGAAGAAACTTGTTGAAATGTTGAGATTGAGATGTTCAGAATCGTTATTTAATCCGGAGTTTTTCACATGGGGCCGAGGTGAGCCTTTCTTAGCAGACGTCAATACCGCTACCACTGTTACTTCTTCTTTCGTTACTTCAACTGACACTGCTCTTTCTTCTTTTGCTAGTAATTATATTAACTTTCCTTCCAATGCTTCCATACTTTCACAAGGTAATAATAATAATAATAATATTAGTATTTATAGTATTCTTACTAGTACTAGCAGCATTATCAGCGGCAGTAGTAGCGCTACTGTCGATTTTAACGCTGGTGGCTTGAATATAAACTGTGAAACATCTAAGGGTAATAATGTTAATCGTCCTATTGTTGTCGCCACTATGGATACCTCGTGTTATACTGATTCAGCCGCTACCACTGACGCTTCTACTACTACTAATATTAATAACTGCATCTCAGACATCAATACATCTATCACTGATACTAATTCTTCAGTTACTAATACTACCTTTGATAATCCCGTTAATATTGCCAAATGCAACAACGAACCTTTCAACTTATATACTAATGCATCTATTGCTATTGTGTCCGTAAGTAAAAATACTACTTTTGCTACTAATACCTTACCTGCATCTACAACCACTGCTACAGCTACTACTATTGCTACAGCTGCCACTACTTCTGTAGCGGCTGATGGTGCTGCTACTACAGCTGCTACAAATGAAGTGCCGATAAAGATAATCTTGAAGAGTTACAAAATGCGTTCTGTAATGGAGTTAGTTCAAAATAAAAGGTTGAACATTCAAGCAATCAAATTACTTTTAACATCTCAGCCAAATGTGACAGCCAGTGATAGCAATGGAGAGAGAAAGGTGCCCTGTGATTGGTCAGCTGATTTGAATAAGCCTCATTTTAATGCCTCACAGATACCCAATAGAAATTTGAGGAAGAGATACTGTCCTTGACATTGTTTGTTTTTTCGTTAAAATTAAGTTATGATTAAATTTTTGAGAAGAAATTCATCTTCTATATAATTATTATTTAATTAAATTGTATCAAATTGTTAAGGAGTTTTTGATTACTGTAATTATACGCTGGGTATGAATATTTCTTTTGTTTGTTTAAACAACTCATTCCTTATTTCATTTTACTTTTTTTATTAATTTATATATATATATATATATATATATATGCGTGTGTATGTTTGTTTCGTATTCTAGGGTTTATTTTCATTATTCTTTCGGTCACTTATTAATTAATTATTATTAATTATGATTAAATATTTTTATAGTTCGTAAATTCGTTGCTGATATTATTGTTACGTTATAACTCTTATTTATAATTGTGCTAATGCTATGCATTCACTCGTTACTCTTGTATTAATATACTAATTATTATTAATATTCTTTGTTGATGTAAGTCGCTACACAGATATATACAGAGAGAGAAGAGGAGAGAGAGTGTTATAATTATAATAATAATTTTACCTTCCAAGTAACAAAACCGGTGAACCAACATATAAGTAGTATAACCAAAAGACAGAATGATTCTCATCGTTGAGGTCATTATTCTATTTCATTTTATTTCTCCTTTATGGCTTTGAAAATATTGTTACTGTTGTTGTTGTTGAATGAGTTGATTGATTGGATTGAATAGTTAGTTAATTTTTTCCATTGAAAAATCTTACCCCTTTTGAATTTTACACAATTGGTCATTTTTCTCTAATTTTTCATCTGCTAGTCAGCTTCCCAAGTGTGTGTGTGTGTGTGTGTGTGTGTGTGTGTGTGTGTAGGCGTGTGTGCGTGTGTTTGCAGTCAACGGATATTTTTGTGTGTGTGGTTAGATTTTTTTGCTGTCATTATCATTTTATTCACATTCACTCACTCATTCAAATCATTATCGTAGTAGCTTCCAACGGTTGAGTTTCATTCATTTATTTTATTCATTTATTTTATTCATTCGTTTTTTCATTTACTGATTGGTTTAGTCGTTCAGTCAATCATTCATTCATTTATTTGCGTATTAAATTTTTTTAATAAAGTTCTGTAATGTTAAATGACCGATGACGATAATGATGAATGATAATAAAATTGGTGATATGATATGATATATATATATATATATATATATATATAATATATGATATATATCTTATGATGTATCTTATGATATAATCAACGGAGATGATGATGATGTTATCATTATTGTTTATAGTTGTCAATATTTAATTGTAAGTATATTTAAATCGGTATATATATATATGTTCATGCTTATATTGTAAAAACTCAATATGTATATGATGTAGGAATTATTTTTTGAAAAAAATATTGATTGATTGATTGATTGACTAAGCGATTGATCTATCGAATAGTCGATTGGTTGATCGATTGATTGATTTGTGAAATTCTACATTTTGTTACTTGAAATAAAATATAACACTTAAAAAGATGTTGATTATGATGCTAGTAGTAGTTGTAGTAGTAGTTGTTGTTGTAGTAGTAATAGTAATTTGCAGTTATGACGAACGACGAATGTTATAAGATGAGTGAGTGTTTGAATGAGGTTTGCAGTGGCCACGATTGTTTTTGCACTAGTGGTACGTAAGAGCTAAAGTGGTAGCGACAATAACGACAATAAATGAAAGAATGAATGAATAAAGGAAGGAGGGAGGAACGGTAGATGAGTTAAAAGGAGACAAGTAAGTCATAATCAATCATCAAATTGTAGAACTTTCTTCTCAAGTACTTAAGGCCGTGTTGTTCGTCGGCTTTGTTGTTGTTCCGATGTTATTGCTGATGTGATGTTGTTGTTGATGTGATATTACTGATGTGATGTTGTTGTTGTTCTGATGTGATATTGCTGGCGCGATGTTGTTGCTGATGTGATATCGTTGATGTTTGTTTGTGCGGTAATGCTTTGTTTTGGGGCTGTGTGATTTTTCTGTTGGCAACATGTTGTCCATATTGAAATACTGATTATCTTAAAATAGATAACATGTACATACATTCATACATACACACACAACAATATACACACATACATACAACATATATACAAACAAGAATATACATACGTACATTGCATGCATACATACCTATGTACAAAGGTTTTATGTTGAGTTGGCTAACCTTATATTAATGCAAGACGTATTGTTGATTGATGGAAAGTGGACGTGATGATGACGATTATTGTGGTGGTGTAGATGATGGTGACGCCAAATAACATCCCCTAATATAACGAATTACAGAAAATGGACTCTCAAAATTTGTGACGAATCACAAAAATAGGCTGTAAAGTTTGTAAAGAATTACAAAAAATAAACTGTAAAGTTTGTAACGAATTAAAAAAAATAAACCATAAAGTTTGTGACGAATTATAAAAAAATAAACTAAAGTTTTTAAAGTCTGTATCGAATTATGGAAGTAAGTGCGTAAAACTGTAAAGAATTACACAAAGTGAAGAGTTACTGGATGAAAAAAAAGTCTGCAGTATCGTCACTATAAGTGTAGAGACAAACTTTTTTCACTCAGTCCATCGTACAAGAATTTTCCTTTGGTTATGGCTGTTAATGTTATAATAATAATTATTATAATAATTATTATTATAATTATTATAATAATTGTTATTATTATTGGTTTTATTATTGTTATTATTATTATTTCAGATCTCTATTTCCTGCCTTGCGAGCAGCAACTAAAGTGATAAATCAAACGAAGGAGCCAAGCAATTGCTAGATTAATGCCTCAAAATAAAATACATACGTACCAACATTCACACACAACACACACATACAAACATACATACATACAAACAAACGTACATACAAACAAACATACAAACAAATACATACATACATACACACACACACGCGTACAGACAGACATATATCAAAGTAATTTATTGCCAAAAAAAATTACTTAGCGTGGAAAGCATTTGCTTTAAACGATTTCTAATTGCTGTTGCGTAGTTGTTGTCGATAAGGATGATGATGATGATGGTGACGATGATGATGATGACGATGATGATGACGATGATGAGGATAGTCATGATGATGATGATGACAACGGTGGTTACATGCGAGATATTTTCGTCAGAGCTCAAATGAAATCACAGTTTAGAAAAAGTTAATTAAACATAGGTAGGTTCCCGTCTCATTTTTCTCTTACTTGTTGTGTTCGTTTTTGTTCTGCAGTACACATACAATACAAAAAACAAACATGATACAAACACATACAACGAAAATTCAAACATACATGCTGAATTAATGATTGAACGAATGATCGAATGAATAATGAAAAATATAACAAAAATAACAAGTCCATATAAGTAAATACTTCTACCAACCAACCAACCAACCAACCAAATTTTCATCTAAACTATAATTATAACAGCCATAAGAATAGGTAGGTAGGTAGGTAGGTAGTACCTTAGATAAGTCTATTTTGCGCGTTTTGATTATGTTAAAACAGTTCCTCTACCAAGAACGGCTGCCTTGACGAGGCGAGCGAGCCAGTAAATGTCCTTCACGACAGGCTCTTCTTAACCATTGTTTCATCATTTTTTCATTTTGTGTAACACATCTAGCTTTGTATTTCTAATTCTACATACACACCACACACAAACACACACACACACACAAGCAGACACACACATAAACACACGCACACTATTATTATTATTAATTCTGACGTTGATAGTTTGAAATGGTGAATCTAAATTATTTTTTTTACATTAAAACTAATTAAATTAAAATTTTGGTGTTGATGACGACGTTTTGAATTTTATTCAGTTAGAATTACATTTCCATATATCTTACCGTAATTAGCGTACAATCTATAAATATATGATATTGCAATTTCATAACTTTTTCATTATCACCAACTATTACCAACATCATCATCATCACTGCTATCATCATCATCATCTTCGTCATCATCATCATCACTGCTAACATCATCATCATCATCGTCATCATCATCATCAATTGACCTTTATATATTCCCACGCCAATTTTTCGGCTTGCGATTATTACATACCTTCATATATATATATATATATATATATATATATATATATATATATATATATATATATTTACATATATATATAGTATTTTATATGAATTCTACTACCGAATTGTTAGCATTAATCATTTTAAAGTTTGCCTTTTAAATTTTCCTTACTAGAATTTTCTCCTGGAACTTGTTCAATTGTTCAATAAATACAATACTGTGTAAAATATAGACTTATTCCAACACACACACACACACCACACACACACACACACACACACACACACACACACACACACACACACACACACACACACACACATATATATATATATATATATATATATATATATATTTATTTATCTATATTATATTTATATATAATACAAACGTATATTCAAATGAACGTATAGGAATTGTTGGCTTGTATATGTAACCTATCAAAGTCCAATTAAACATGTCAATACAAAGCATATGAAGAATAGAAAAAATACGGCTTGTATATATGCTTACTGTATGTTTGTATGTATGTATGTGTGTATGTTTTTGTGTATGTATGTGTGCGTATGTATATGTGTGTGTAAGTGTGCACGTATTTTTGCATGTATGTATATTTGTTTTTATGTATCTTTGTTTTATTATTTAATCTATTACTTAAGCCATCACTACTACTGTTACTACTAATACCACTATCGTCACCACTACTACTACTGCTGCTGCTACTACTACTACTACTACTGCTGCTACTACACTACTACTACTGCTGCTGCTACTACTGCTACTATTTCAGCAACTTTAAAAAGGTGTGCAGTTGTTGTTGTTGTTGAAAGTTAAGCTTCTTTGAACTCAACTGCGGCTACAACTCACCACACACACATGTGTGGTGTGTTAACGCGGTGTTTAAATTTCACATTACTTCCGTAACGAAAAACTTTCAACCAATAAGATCGCTGCAAATTAATTGTAACCCCGCCTCTTTCGCATTATTCTAATCAATCTGCCAGCCAATCAGAAGTCTTCTCGGCCACGCCTTCTTTTTTCTCACTCCATCATTGGAATATGAAGATTAGGAAGCTGACGAAATTAGGAGAGCGTAGAACTTTAAAAGTTTCTTAATTAGAATGTCAGTTTTTAAATTATACAATTAGATAATTAGTTAATTATTAATAACATATTTGGTAAATTATTTAAAAATTTTATATTTTGAAATAATTCTATAAATATCATGTAATTGAAATGACGCTGAGTTGAGGCTTATTATTGTTTTTGCTTGTTAATATGAATTATTATCCCAACAACATATTTGAATTGAACGACGATCGTGTTGATCACAACAAAAACCACAACACTATCAATTCTCTTGCAAACAACAACAACAACAACAATGATAACGCCAAATCAAATAATAAATTTTGGCGGCCTTTTGAACATGAAAAGTCATCATCGTCATCATCCCATACAACATCAGCACCATCAAAATTTCATACTGCAACAACAACAACGACGACATCATTTTTTGCAACATCAACATCAACAACATCATCTACAACTAAATTGCCAACCGATTTTGATAAAAAACCCTTTTCAACCAATGATATTGAAACATACTCAGCTAACAACCGAAACAACGATTATACTAATGATGATGGTGGTTATAGAATCAAATCCTTAAGCAGCAGTAGTTTTGCCAACAGCAATAAGAATGACATCAACAATAAATTACACATAACAATTAAGAACAACGACATTACGAACAACAACTTCTACACTAAAATGAACAATAATGCAACTAGAGTACAATCGTACAACTGGCTCTTGTACAATATCGTTCTGGCCAACAACAACATCATCAACAACAGCAGCAACAATAAATACAATCAACACCAAAGAATCCTCATCAACAACAACAACAATTACATCAACAACCATTGCCATAACTTTAACAACAGATTTCAAACAACACTCAGACACAATTCAAACCAACAACAGTATCAAAATTACTACAAGAGGCAGCTTAACTGCTACTATTACAACAAAAACAACAACAACCATCACGCCCACATTACTTACCTGAACAACAAAAACGACAATGACAACGACTACATCAACACAAAAATACTCGCTATAAACAACAAAACCATATCTAAAAACATCGTCGCCAGCCAGAACACCAACATCTCAAATGACAACTTACTCACAGACAACCGCAACAACGACAACACTATCAACAACGACGTGAAACTCCAGTGCCCAAAATGCCACAAAATCTACACGACACAGCCGGCCTACTCCATGCACATACGAACGCACACTCGCAACAACGTTTGTCCGTTTTGCAGCAAGCGTTTCAGTCGCCCGTGGCTACTTCGAGGCCACTTGCGCACGCACACAGGAGAGCGACCTTACTCGTGCGACCACTGCTCCAAATCTTTTGCCGACAAGTCAAATCTGCGAGCCCACAAGCAGACACATTCGGGTTCGAAACCGCACGTATGCTGGCGCTGTGGGAAGGCCTTCGCCCTGAAAAGTTACCTCTACAAACACACCGAGTCATCGTGCATCAAGAGGTATAACAAATTACTACTCAGTAGTAGTGGTAGTAGCAGCAGCAGTAGAGGTAGTAGTAACAGCAGTAATAGTGGTGCGATCGATTGTAGTGGCTTACTAAATAGTAGAAGTAGTAGTAATAGCAGTAGCAGTAACTGCAGTAGCAGCCGTAGTAGTGGAAGTAGTAATTGTAGTAGTAATGCTGTCAACAGAATTAGTAATGAGCATGTGGCCAGTAAAAGAAGTAGCAGTCACACTAGTAGCAGCAGTTATAGCACTAGGAATGATGATGTAAAAAGTAGTAATTTTATTAACGCTTATCTCACAATTAGATAATAGTAATTAGTTTTCAGTTTTTGCTATTTAAGAATAATCTTGTTATAAATTTTCTATTTACATTTTGAAGAACGCTTCTCTGAGCTTAAAGTTGAAAACTATAGAGAACAATAGAAACAGTAGAACACACGCAAGCACACACACACACAAACACACACACGTACACACAGACGAACATAGACGTAGGGCCTACATGCGCAAAGCTCAATTTAGTTCATTTTTTTGTATCTTTATAGAAAAAAAACCAGAATTTTCTCGAAGAGGTTATTTGTTCGTTTGTTGTTTATTTTTGAAGGTAAAACAAATAATAAAAACAATAACTTAATGATAATAATAATAATAAAATATAATAATAATAATAATACCACTAATAATAATAATGATATATCACCAATGCAATCTATGCGGAATTTTGAATGAGTTGGTGCAATTGACAACATAATTTCAGCCATAGTTCACAATAACAATAATAATAATAATGTATGAATATATATATATATATATATATATATATATATTAGGAAACGTACCCTAATATATATATACATATATATATATATATACATATATATACATACTGAATTAAGACTGTCAGAAATATATATATATATATATATATATATATATATATATATATATATATATATATATATATATATATATATATATATATATATATATATATATATATATATATATATATATATATATATATATATATATATATATATATATATATATATATATATATATATATATATATATATATATATATATATATATATATATATATATATATATATATATATATATATATATATATATATATATATATATATATATATCTATATGTTCAACGTTCGTATGAGAGAGATAGAGCAGATGCTAGTTCGGATATACCAATATCTATATATTCATATATATATATAAATATTCATATATATATATATCTATATGTATCTATATATATCTCTCTTTCAGCCTTAAAAGCTAAAAATTAATCAATCTGTAACAACAATTCATTCATTCGTTCGTTCGTTCATTCATTCATTCATTGTTAATTATTTATCGATTAATCACTCACTCAACCTTTCTATCATTTTTATTCATTCATTCATCTGATACAGAAATTTATAAATTTATTCAATCCAAATTCATCTCCAATATAAAACTATCATTCTAACAAATCTTTCTTTCATTATAATTCTCATTCATTCGATCATTCATTCATTCTTTCAATCAATCACTTTTTCCATCTCTCAATACCCTAATCAATCCCTTCTGCCCGATCTAGCATCTGCTCTCTCTCTCATGCGAACGTTGAACCCGGAACTTTTGTTCTTGCGGAAACTTTCAAACGGATCGTTCAGGTTCATTCCCAGTCCTTTGAATTGATCCTGTTTATCTCGCACGTCCGCGTGATCGATCGGATCGACGATGCCGTCTCCACTACTTCCTAATGCACCACCTCCCCAACCTGCCAATCAATCAGTTAATCAGTCAATCAGTTAATCAGTCAATCAGTTAATCAGCCAATCAGTTAGTTTTTCCTGACATTACATTGTTTGCACGCGCAAGGATCGCATCCCATGGTGTGGGTGTGTAACGGCCTTTCGGTTTCAAATAGACAGCATTCGAACGAACAAGGTCATGACGCAGTAACAACGCGAGAAGGGCACTTCTGCCGTCTGAGCTAACGGGCCGACCAGTGGTGCTCAGTGAACATTAAATAAAACATAAACACACACACACACGCACACACACAGCACAGAACACACGCGGACCCATCTTCTTCATAAGTTGATGTCCTTTGTTGCTTTCCGTCAGTTTATCGTTCCTACTTGTTGATAAATAGAACATGTCCTGGCTGTGATGATGATGATGGCGGTGATGATTGTAATGATTATAACGGTGGTGGTGGTGATGATGGTGGTGATGGTGATAACAATAGACTGAAACAATTATTAAAGTGTTAATGTTAAATAAGATGTGACGATAAAACGAGGGAAACGCCGTCAACAACACCGACTAACAATTGATCTGGTGACCTCGACCTTGATCCACTTCTGCTTCGTGACCTACTTCTGCTTCGTGACCCACTTCGTGACCTACTTTTTGATGATGAACTGGAATATGATCTCGACCTGAGATAAAAATAGCATGATTAATTAATTAATTAATTAATTGTCCACTGAAGCACATTCTATTTATTCATTTATTTTCCATCCAACTATTCAGCCATACAATTTCAATTCATTCATTCATTCCCTCTTTCATTCATTCAGTCATTCCTTTCCCATCAATTAATTAAACCACTCCCTCATTAATTCGCTCACTTATTCCACTAAATAACCAACCGATTCCTGGTGGCCCTCCCCCTCCTGCCGTCCGGAGATGGAGACCGACTGTAGTTTGTGGGCCTCGACCCCCGTACATCATTGAACGGTTCCCTAGCGATGCTTCAGGCAGGTCAGACGACATTATACATTATTCAACATTTCAATTATTTATCATAACATGTTGGTTAGTAGCAATTTCTTAACTATTTTTAACACGAGAGCAGTTGTAGACTAACTTGTTTAAAATTTTGTTGTTGCTCTTGTTATTTTGGGCATCGTTGCCAACTTTATTGGCAACATTGTTAGCAGTCGATTCCATCTTTTTTGTCTTCGCCTGATTTTTGGCTTTGTAGAATTCAAACAGACTCAACTTCTCCCAGCCGTCCCTGCAGCGAGGTCAACAACATTATAAAAACTCAATGGCATAACAAAAACAGGGCATGAACATCGTAGCAACAACAACAATTGCAACGACAACAACAACAACATGCCAACAACAACAACGACATCATCACCAACGCATCTCGGGGCCTCTCATGCGATGGCGGACTATAGAAGGCCTCGACAGCGGCAAGCAGCCTATCAGTGGGTGGCATCGGAGGTGGAAGTCGGATGTTCCTGGGGTCCAGAGATTTGTACTCACAATCTCCTAACTTTTAAACAAAATTTAGTTGGAAAATTATTCAGCATTATCGACACTGTCATAATGGCATCTTTTCTACAACCATTACAAGCTAAACAACCTCCTACTTCTTATCAACATCACCATCATCGTTCATCTTAACATCATCTCACTTCTCTCACCACCACCACCACCACCATCATCATCACTACCACTATCACCACAACCACAATCATCATCGTCGTCGTCATCGCCACCATCCACTTAACCCTACTTTAACTAGGGGAGCCATGAGACCAGCAGGCAGATCATAGTACGGGATGGTGGGTACAAGGTCGAGATCAGGGTGAAACATTGGCGGCGGAGGTGGAAGATTGGGAATGGGTGGAGGACAGAAGCCCATTGGAGGCATTGGAAATCCCGGAGGGGGCTTGCTCAGGTCGGGAAAGTGCAAGGGGGGAGGGACCGCCCCTGAGAAATCTGAAACATGTAATTCATGAGTGAACTTCATCAACATTAAAATCCTGTTGAAAAAAACGAACAACAATTACAAAGCCACTTTCGAGTTATGTTAAAAAAAACACAGCTCTCAACTCTCTCAAGTGCAATAAATAAACACAAACCACTGGAATTAACCAATGAAATGTACTTCAAAAGTATAACACACCACAGGGAAGTTACAAAAAAATACAAAGCATCACTTTTAAAGATGAAAAAAACCGTTAGTACCAACAAAAATTATGCTTAACCCGTCTGTAAAAACTTATCTTCACCGCCCTCCAACTAACCAGGATTGAATGGAGGTGGCATGCGAAAAGCTGGTGGGGCTTGCTGCATTGGATGTGCAAACGGTGGAGGATTACAGAAATTCGGTGGTTGTAGCTGCTGTGTGTGTGTACGTGTGTGTGAATGTGTAATTATAGTCAGAACAATCAAAGTGATAAAAGCAAGAAAAAAAAGACCTGTGGATCAATCTGTTCATTGCTGGTTTGCTGCTGCTGCTGCTGTTGTTGCTGCTGTTGATATTGTTGTTGTTGAGGTATGGGAGGTTGTTGTAATAAAGGTTGATGCTGCTGCTGCTGATATTGTTGTTGAGATATAGGTGGCTGTTGTGATTGAAGTTGTAACAACGGTTGTTTCTGTAACATGGGCTGCTGCTGTAATAATGGTTGTTGTTGTTGTAACAATGGCTGTTGTTGCTGTTGTTGCAACTCAAGTTCGAGAGCGACAATTTGACTATTGAGATGATTGACGAATTCGTGGTGTTGCTGTTGGAGTAGAAGAAAGGCGTTGTTGGTGGTCGTGGAGACTTCTGACACGACCGCTGCGTGTTCATTCAACAGGAAGGCCTGGTAGGCTGCAATGCCAGCATTCGCATCTTTCATTTGCTGTTGTGACAGTTGAGGAACTTCAATTAAAAACCAATTGGAAATAAAATAAGGACGACAATTATCATCATCATTATTATTATTAATATAATTATAATTATTATAATGATAATAATAAAGGTAATAAAATATAACAATTAGCATCAGTAAGGACACATGCATGGTAACTCATAAATTGCTTCATGTTACCATTAAGAATAGAAGCAGCAGCAGCAGCAGCAGCAGTAGCAGAAGCAGTGGTAGTAGCAGAAGTAGCAGCAGCAGCAGTAGTAGTAGCAGCAGTAGTAGCAGTAGTTATAGTGTTGAAAATATCTTTATTATGAATATAAATATCTAGCCTCAATGGTGGATGTGCTGAAGTATTTGTTGTTCTCCCATAACGTCAGCAGCTGTTCAGGTTGGAGATATGTCAATGAGAAATTAAAGCATGTGAAGATAGAATGAATGAATGCATGAATGAATGAATGAATCAATCAATCAATCAATCAATCACACACAGCTAGCCAATCAATCTATCAATCAGCCAACCAACCAACAAACCGGCTGATATAGTCCACAATCAATCAACCAATCAATAACGTGACCTACTTTACTTAATTTGGCCTTGCCCTCCTCATGGGCAGCAATATAGGTCAGACAGAATGAAGGAACAACTGATATAGTTTCGAGAATCTCTTTCAGGTCTTTGACATTCTTTCGAGTGCTGATGATGATGATGATGGTGGTGATAAAAGATAATTATAGAGATCATTTTTACTGAAAATATCATTTACATTTTTACTACCACCACTACTAATACCACTACTACTACCACCACTACTACACTACTACTACTACTACCACTACTACTATGACCAACCAATGGTGGAGGAGGTCATTGATGAGATAGATAAGATGGAGGCGCAGTTCAAATGAAGATTCCTTATCAATTATCCTATAATTTATGAAGAAACAAAATTACAGTCATAATTTATATCAATGTAAATTATTATTATTATAAATAAATTATTTCGAATAATAAATTTTTGTATGTAGAGATCTTTGTAATATGCACAGGGAAATTAGACTTAATAAAATGAAACTGCAATCATAAAATAATAATAATTAAAAAATAATAAACCATAAACCATATAGAAACCTCTGCAATATGTAATGAGCAATGAATTCTCCATGCTTGTGAGATTGAAAGTTGCTCAATATCCAAGCTTTTCCATTCTTATTTCACGTAAAATAATGAATATTAAGACATAATAAGTATTTTAATTGATTAATTATTTATTAATTATTGTTATCAGATAAGAATCTTACAGATATAGCATCTTTGGTACAGGAGTCTATGATTGGTTGAACGATTTTTTGAACCTCATCCAATGAGATATTACACTGGAGACTTAAACTATCTAACTGGCTTTTCTTGGCTTTCAATAAAACTTCCTCCAACTTAACCTATAAATAATAACAATAATATTATCACCAAGGATAAATTATTTCATTTGAGAATAATAAAAACATAATTTCTATAACAAAATATAATAACTTTAGTCATAAAAATTAGCCAGCACCTGCTGTTGTTGCATGAGGTTTTGATACTGTGCAGTTAGATTATTTTCACTTTGTGATATCTGCTCTTTCGCATTTAACTTCATCTGCTCTAACTGCTCCCTCAAATTAGGCTGATTAGTGTTGACTGGTTGCTGAGATTGAGAGATTGTTGTTGATATTGTCGGTGTTTGTTGTTGTTGTTGCCAGGGAGCTGACTTAACAGATTGTTGGTTAATGACTTGTTGTACTAAATTTTGTTGTTGTTGTTGCATGTTTAACATTTGCTGCTGCTGCTGCTGTTTTATTACTAAAATAAAAAGGATTGGTTTGTATATGTATATGTTGAATGAAAATTTGTTGATATTATAATATTATGTTATCATTATGTAATGCTTGCCATTTGGTAGGCATGTTTCCAATCTAATTTAAGTTAGAGATAAAAAATATAACTATTATAAGCATAAGATCAAAACAATTATGATTAAATAAGCTATAAGTAAATAAAAAAAGCATATGTAGTAAAATAAATAAAATATAAATAATATAAATCAAGTTTTTGAATGACACATGCATGGTCTTATCTTTTTTTATCTTATTATTTTTATATTATTTTCCTATCTTATCTTATCTTATCTTATCATAAAAATTTTTTTTATGTATGCAATGCTATGAAGTAACTAACTGGCTTGTTCTGTGCTCACTCTATACTGATAGTAGCCGTTGAATTCGCCAGAAAATAAAAAAGAAAATTTTGGGTTGTCCTTCTGCTTCTGTTTTGTCATCTGCTCAAACTCCGGCCCATTCCTGGCCACAAAATTTGCTAACTTGTCAATTATATTCTTCATCTCAGAATCTGAAAGTGAGAGGAATTGTTAAATGAACGAATGAAATTTTAAACGTTTTTAATTTAAAAATAGAAAACTACCCTCTGGTGGCTTGGGGACACTCATGTTCACTTTTATCCTAATTTACAATTTAAAATTTAGGAAATTATTTCTGGTCCAAAAACAAATTAAGAAGCGTGTAAACTTCGGTCAAAAGCAGTTGCGGCCATAAAACAGGGATGTGCCAAAACTTCTGTAATTCTAATCAATATAACTAGAATAATCCATCTGGCGATCAGCTCACATGCTTTTTCTCTGGTATTGCCATACTAGAGCAGGAATGACATTGCAAAATAATAAAATAGTTTAAAAATATTATAAGCCTTTATATTTATGTAATTTGTAAGTATTAAATAAAATATTATGTAAAAAACGTTCAAGTTAAGAGCTTCGTTCATCTTTTATAGGACTATGCAATAGGACAGCCATTTGGCCGAATGAATAAAATCAAAATTCTTTTAGACTAACCTAACTTTTTGTAGATTAACTTTTAAAATCTTTTTTCAAAACATTTCTTCAATCATTTATTTTACTATTTAAGATGTTTATTTGAAATATAAATATTTAAAATATACGGACGGACGATCATGAAAAAAGTTACGATAAAAACTCCGGAGCACAAGCCAGAGACCGATAAAGCGAAAAAAATTTACAAGTTAGTAGTGTTGTTTCAATGAACCACGAAACAGTTTCATGTTACTAATTTTATTATTTTTAATTTTTCCTACTTTAATTTTAAATAACATAATATTTTCGTTTTCACTAAGACTAAGAGACTTTTATTAAAAGTTTTGGTGAGAATGAAAATGTTATTGACTTTACTATTGATTTTATTATAGCTTCATCTTTTTCTAAGCCTATTAATATCTCTGCTAGCTCTGTTCCTTACTCTGATCACCTTCTTATTGAATCTGTTTTTTCATTAGATTTTCTTCCTTCAAATTCATCTATGTCTATTTCTAAAAGATGCTGGTCTTCTCTTAATAAAGATATTTTTCTTCAATCTCTTACTGAACCTATTTTTGATACTACCTTATTTTCTGATGTTGATGATTTTGTCAGTGCTTTTAATATCTACATTACTTCTATTCTTGATAAGCTTATTCCTCTTAAATCTTTTACTTATAGGCTCTATTCTCGTAAGGCTCCTTGGTTTGATTATGCTTGTGTAGTAGCCAAGAAAAGTCTTAGAAGACTGGAGAAAGCCTATAGGTTAAATCCATCTAACTCTCTTTATTCTATCTATGAATCTGAATTGATTAATTATAAATATCTACTATTCTCTAAACACTCTACTTTTCTTAGAAATTCTATAACATCTGCTTCAACATCTAAAAATAGGTGGTCTGTTCTATCTAAACTTCTACATAAAAAATCTTCTCACTCATCTTTCTCTGCTCAACAGTTTCATGACTTTTTTGTAAATAAAATTACTTCTTTAAGAACATCTAATTCTAATTTTCCTTCTCATAACTTTACTAAACTTACTACTGAATCTTTCTCTGTATTTACTCCAATAAATCTTT